ACACACACACACACACACACACACACACACACACACACACACACACATACTTCCGGACATTTTTTACTAATACGATTTTTCGACATTTTAGAACACTCTAAACCTATTTCCATGAAAATGTCGAAAAAAATTTTTTTTACCATCACAAAGCTTTCTCTATGAAGAAGCAATATTGATTATTTTGTTTATTCTGTCTTTATCCAACAAGATCCTACGAGATATCTGTCCTTGTCAGATTACAACGCCATGTACACTGCGTGTGTGTATGTACATGCATAAAATCTGCGATCAATGAAAATCTTTCTTAATAGGCTTTTAATCTTAGTTTCAATGATTATTCAACGTTGTTTTTTGATTTAGTTCAATTAGTGGGGTACTTTCGATTTGTAAACGTAAGTTATATAATTCGTATATTAAACAAAAGTTTCCATGAAGTGACAACTCTAGGTACAAAAGATTAGGTACAAGTAGTATCAAATATAATTTTTTCAATTCTTTTAAGTTTTTAGTCATTAATTTATTACTTCACCCATCATTTCTGTATTATGTACTTTAAACGTGTTAAAGGGATTTCAAATCTGTAAAGCCAATTCGAAGAAAATCATACACCTATAAATATCGGTCATTACCGTCGCTCCAGGATTTCCTTAAGCAATTTCACAATCTTTTGTACGTTTTGCCTCTTAAAACCATAGTAGGCACCATGAAAAAAATCCATAGTTATTTGGCAAATTTTTTTTAATGCAGGGTACTTAGAAGTACAAAAAAATGTAAAGAATAAATTTGTGTTGCAGTTCTGCACAATTGTTTTCTGCGTTAAAATAAAAAAGAAAAAAATCGCTAATTTTTTATTATTTTTATCTATTTTCATCATGTCTACATATTATTTTAAAAAATTTGGCAATTATACCATTCAATAGAGCAACGTTTCAGCTTTAAAAATCTGTTTTTTGAATTGCGTTACGATGATCTTTAACGGAGTTATGACCAATTAAAGTCAAAATGCTCATTTCTTATTCAATTCGCACTAACTCAGTAACAAGAAATCTTAGAAACATTTTTAAAAACAATTTCTATTTATTCATTCGTCTCACAACGTTTCGACCCCGATTGGGTCCTTCTCAAGTGAGATTATACATAATTACGCAATAATATCATGCGTCGCGAGACGTTGCGCCCAAACCACATCATGCAAACGCCACGCTAGAACGAACAAATTGTCAATATAAGTATGTCAGATATAAATTATGAAAAAGTGGGAGACATATCGCAAGTACATCGTGAGAACTTACATATTAAGTGCGTCAAAAGAAAATAACAAATTTCCGAGAGTCGCCACGCAAATTCCGAAGAAAAACGGACTGTCCATTTTCTCCACTGGCTCGATTCCGTACCATATTCAAAGTCACAATGATAAATGCCAATTACAATAAGACGTGTTCCGAAAGTAAGGAATAACAAACCAGATCATAAACAATACAATAGAAACAGATCCGACTCTATCACTTATTATACTGCCTCAATAACACGATCGTATATCGTGGGCAAATTCTCCGTATCCTTTTGAAGGTTTACAGTGTATTTATTCTTTTTAATGAAAAACATTTCAGAAATCTCCCTTTTTCTGAAATGTCTCTCGCTATACAGGATTTTCGGATTTTGCTAATCAAAATCGTGGTTTTGAGTGAGACGGTGTTTAGTTACAACCGAATGATTATCTACGTGCTTTTTGACATCACTTCTTTTATGCGAGTCTCTAGGTGTCTCTTTGTTTGTCCGACGTAACAAGAGTCACAATTAACACAATCTAACTTATATACAATATTAGTCTGCCTGTAACGTTGTAATTTGTCCTTCCCTTTCTTAATTACACAATCTATAGCTTCCTCGGAATCGTTAAAAGCGTTTTAAATTTGACACCTCTCACAGCACTTTCCCTCATTGTACGCTCAATATTCGCACTAAAGCCTTCGACATACGGTATCGTTACACAATTGACAGGATCTCCCCGCGCTTGCAAGTCTGCACTCTCATCAATCGGATTATTCAATTTTTTTGTTAACTTGCCTCGACGGACATTAATGTATTTATTGACGACATCAATCGGAAAACAGTTGTTTAAAAGTATTTTTTTAACTGTTGAAATGTTATTAGAGTGAAACCGATTATCCGAGAGTAAAATCGCCCTATCCACTAAATTCCTTATAATGTTGATTTTATATTTAAACGGGTGATTCGAGAAATAATTGACGTAACGTCCCGAGAACGTTGGTTTTCTGTACCAATTCGTTATCAATGTATTCTTTTCTCGAATCACTGTGGTGTCCAAGAAATTTAATGCACAATTTGATTCTATTTTATACGTAAATTTTAATCTAGAGTGATAGTTATTGAATGTCGTGAGGAGCTCATCAATTTTCGACTTAGGGACCACCGCAAAAATATCATCCACGTATCTACGATAGAATGTTAC